CGGGGGCGGGCGGAGCGGTGATGACCCCAACATGCCATCTGAGAGCCCGTGCTGAAATCCAGAGGCTGTTTCTGAGCTGCCGCCCTGTTCCCGGCCCGGTGGGACGGGGGTGGCCCCGGGGCGCCTCCCGACTCGTGCCCTCCTGGCCCGTCCTTTGCACCCTCGTCCCCCGTGTGCCCGAGTGCGTTCGGAGGCTTCTCGTGCCTTCCATTCGCCCCCACGCTATTTAGGATTGTCTGACGCCGGGAGGTCGTGTTTGGCTCTGAGTCCTGAAGCTGGAGCGCGCGACACGTGTCACCTTCAGCAAAAGCATCCAGTCCTGTGGTCCTGCAGAAAGTGGCTTCTGCAGCACTGACTGCCACGTTGCAAAAAATAAAAACAAAAAAATTTGTTCACCCTGAGGCCATGGGGTTTTATTATAAAAACTTTGAAAACGAGACAGTAGATTCTAACGTGTCGGAAAATCGGTTGCTTTTTTTTATCTATTATTATTTTCTATGAAACTTGGGAAATATAGTTCACAGGAGTAAAGTTAAGAGATGTGTGTGTCGCCTATGCTTCTCACGAGGCCCTGGGCTTAAAACTAGCCCCGAGTTAAATACAGCCTCACATGGCAGCTGTGTTAATTGTCGATTTTCTGTCGTCACAGGAGGCCCGTAGGTAATCAACAGCAAAACAGCTGTGTTTCTGAATTCTGAGAAAAAGATGGTTCATCATCACCGCTCGCCCGCCCCGGGCCCCGCAGACGCCCAGCCCACTGTGGGAGGCCGGCCAGGGAGCCCACACGCAGGGTCGGCGGCCGCACGCGTGCGGCACGCGCACCCAGGGCCCAACCCCCGCCCATGCCCGCACTACCTCGGAGAAGCGGACAGTTCAGTGTCGGGAACTGCGGCTCGTACGATCTGGGTGACCAGCCGTTTGTGGCCTTGAGGTGCCGCGAAGGTCATCTGCTCAGTCATGGTACGGCGGGTGCGAGGGTCGCCGGCAGCGACGGAGGATGCACCGGATAGCCAGAGACGACGCCACGCCGCTCCCGCCGCGGCCTACGGAGAGAAAGATAGGACCAACCCCGCCGAACCGAAAACACCATTT